TGAGACAGGGTCTCCCTGTAGCCCCAGCTGTCCTGGAACTCACTATGTAGACCAGGCTGGCCTCAAACTCACAGAGATCTGCCTGCCTCTGCCTTCCAAGTGCTGGCAGTAACCTTACCTTTTAATTCAATAATTTAGAAATAGCCTAAAGAGACTTAGGAAACAACTGGCATAAGAAATTGATGCTTTTTGGTTTTAGTTTTGTGTTTTTGCTGAGCAAGGGATTTGGAATTCACAATCCTCAAGCCTCAGCCTCCTTGAGTGCTGGGATGACAGGCATGTGTCACAATGTTCGGTTAATAAAATCACAGCTTTTCATGTGAAAATATAGATCCCCTATTCCTTATTTTCACAAAAGTCAGATCTATCATGAAAGATGATATTCAAAGCTGTGTTGTATGTGTTAACACAGTGGTGGCTGTGCGAGGGTCAGCACCCCTTTCAGTCAGAATGGCATTTTCTCATCACCTTGCCCCAAAGGGATGCCACGGTGAAGAGAAGCCAGAGCTCCTAGAACTGGACTCTTCTAGGCAAGGCTAGGGAGAAGACTGGGTGCCACGAGCTGTCCAGCTTCTGTCTCTGTCCTGGGTAGCCAGGATTGCTGTTCAGTTTTATCCTGGCATCATTTTCTGGAGTGCTAGCCCTGGGTCTCCTTCTTGATCTCTTGTCTGTAACCCTGGCTGACCTGGAACTCATTGTGTAGATCTGCTGCTGCCTCCCTGGTGCTGGGATTAAAGGAGTGTTCCACCACTGCCACTCCTCTGTTTGGTTTTAACTTAAGTGTGTAAGCGCAGCAGTGTGTGCTGCCAGTGCAGCTCAGGTAAGTAATAGATTTGAGTATGTCCATTATTTTGATGATTTGAAGCAGTGTCACAGAACTGGGCACTCCGTCCCACCACCATCTGGAGAAAGCCACAATAGCAAACAAAGCCATTTATCTCAGCTACAGTGATGACATCATTTCCCTTGTGTTTTGTGTTTGTGTTTTTTAGTTGGTCTGGTTCCGATGGCAAAGATGATCCAATTGAAGTGTCTAAAGACAGTGTGTTTGTGAAGATCTTGCAGAAGCTTTTAAAAGATGGTAAGTGGTTTATTGCTACTAGGAATTAAATGTCACTCCTTGGTTTTGGAAATCATGGGCCATGAATGTTTCCAAGATGTAGCTTAGAGCAGAGTAGGTGAAGGTGAAGTTGTCCCCTGCCCTCTGGGTCCTCAATCTTTGCAGTTACCCATGGGCGCAGACACTTGATTATGACACCTAAAGTTTACTGAGAGGAGTAATTGCTTCCTGTTTTCAGCTAACCCTTGTGAAGATTGAAAATCTGAAATGAGATATAAACTTTGTTGTGTATTCGTAGTGGATTGACTGTACAATGCTTAAGAATAAATGACAAGGGGCTGGAGAGATGGCTCAGGGGTTAAGAGTACTTACTGCTTTTCCAGAGGACCTGGGTTCAGTACCCAGCACCCACATGGCAGTTCCAGGACATCTGATACCCTCTTCTGGCCTCCATAGGCATTGCACACACAGTACACTTACATACATGTAGGCAAAACACTCATACACATAAAAATTAATTTAGAAAAAAAGCACGTATGTGTGTCTTTGAGTCAGGGTGTCACTGTGTTGCCCAGGCTGGTCTTGGGCTACTAGGGTCAAGGGTTCCTCCTGCCTCAGCATCCTGAGTGCTGAAACAATGGGTACCCAGCTTGGGTTGTGATACCTTATCTGTTAAATTCCCCAAATTAGACAACATAGAAATGACTATGACTGTTAATTGAAAACTTTGCACATTGAAAGTATATCTTAAGCTATAGAAAAAAATGAAAACACTTCAGATTCTAATAAAAACTTCCCCAGAAGCAGCTATTTGGACCAGTGACGAGAAGAACCTGCAGGTTGCTATGTAGAACCTGTTATCAGACTGAAAGCACAGGGAAGGGAGGAACCTAGAGGTGCCCAGTTTGGAGCCACATTTGCTCGCATGCCTTGCACCAGCTTCTCATTCACTGGGCAATCTCATAGAAGTGACTGTGTCTTTTGTTTGCAGGCACGCAGCTCAGTGAATACTTGCCAGAGGTGCAGGATCTACTGCAAGCAGAGCAGCTGGGAAGCCTAAAGTCCAACCCTTACTTTGAGTTTGTTCTAAAAGCCAATTATGAATATTATGTCCAGGGACAGATGTGACATTTCTAAAAATGGTCATCGTTGTAAAATTTGTGTGCTTATAAAAAGTTTAGACCAAAAAAATTAGGCCTGAATCAGCTTGAAATTTGTACAGTTCTCTTCTGTGCTGTGACAGGCGAGTTTTTTCATGCTTTATTTGAAAGCTACAATATATAGTACAAAATGGGGGTGGGGGGTAATAACTGTAATTTTCTTTTTCAATGCCTACAGCACGCTTGCTGGAAACTTCACTGACGAGGCCCTGGCAGCCTGTGTGGGATGTACAGGGCTCCAGAAGCCTCATTGTTCCCATTTCATTGGCTGCTGTGGGAAGGGCCTATGTCTCCAAAACTAACTCACAGCATCTGTGGTCCCCGCCCCCCCTTCCCGGCATTTCCAGGCTAACTGTAGCCTCACTAGAGCCTCCACACACCACTTCTGTCCTCAGAAAAACTTTATTCATGTGTGAAAAGCCCACTCATGAAATATGGTGTACATTCTAAAAAATAATGCTGTATATAAAAAAAAAGATACTATAGAAAAATAAATTTCAGTTTCCTCTGTTTTGTTTTTTGGGGGTTTCTTTTTGTTTTTTTTTTTTTTTTTTTTTTTTTAGGGTCTCATTTTTTAGCCCTGGCTGGGGGCCTTTTTCTTTAGCCCCCCAAAGGCTGGGTTGCGGGGGTTTCCTATTCCCGGCTGGAACATTTTTTTTTTTTTTTTTTTTTAAGGCGTGAGGAAAACATACCTCAGTAACCCTTCAGCCAGGAAAACTTGGGTTCCCATTTTAAAATAAGTCTTGGAGTGTGTTGGACTGAGCCACCTTTTGATTGAAGTGAGGTATGGTGACCATTTCCCACACCTTTAACTGTTCTCAGTTCAAGAAGTCTTGTCTAGTGAAGTTTATCCTTACCCAGCATGCAAGTTCCTACATTCAAAACTGTGTCTTGGAGGTAATAAACAATGGTAATTGCCAAGGTTTTATTACTCCGTGAGAACCAATTTCTGTCCCCTTGGAGAAAGCATGTCTTCAGTATTGAATATGAGATCTCAGGTCAGTGTCCTAGAGCAGGTGTGATCCAGCCAAGCCTTCTGGGAGTGACACCCCAGGTCACATAATACTGGGGAAGGTACATCAGATTTGCTGACTTCAGAGTGTGTTGGGTGTGAGGAAGGGCTGGTTGGAGGCACTACTTGGCCTGAACCCTCACACTCAGGAGAAGCCACCAGCTCCAGGGGAGGAGGGAGCAGAAAATGTCATCTCTTTGTGACCCCCTTATGAGGCCCTGCTGCTCTCCACTGTGTGGGTTGGGAGGAGAGCTGTTTTTTCCCTGTCCTGGTTCTGCCCTCATGTTGCTCTTCAAGATGTTTTTTGGCTCTTTGGAAAAGATCCTTTGAGGGTCTGCAATTCCAGACCTGCAGGAAGGGTTAGAAAAGTAGAGTACTCCACACGGGAGGCACAGGCAGGCAGAATTCTGAGAGTTCAAGGCCAGCCTGGTCTACATAGCAAGTTCCAGGCCAGCCACAGCTACATATTGAGACTCTGTCTCAAAAATAAGATAGGCTTTAATTGTAAATTAAGACAAGATCTAAAAGTCATGTTTCTATGTTTCTGCTAAAAAATTACAAGATTCTTACTTGGGGCCTTTATTTGACTGTTTGAACCTGCATCTAGATTTTAAATGGCATCTTCAATCCTAATAATAATATCAAACTGATGAAAGCGCATATCCCTGTTCTTAAGATTTTGAGTATGAACCACTGTTCCTGATCTCTAAGAATTGCTCCTTCTGAGTAGTAATAGAAACAGACTTTCCCCCCAAATTACCAAATTAGACATCACTTCCTTAGCTTTCTGATGTGACTTCATGTAAATCAGTTTTTAATTTTTACTAATTTTCATGATCTCAGACTGGGAGATAAATATAATATAGACTAATAAATGTCCTTTGCTAAATTGTCTCATTTGGAATTTGTCAGTGTACAGCTATTAAGGATAACTACTCTGTCATGGGTTGCTTTGTTGTTTAAACTGAAAGAAAGTTTTCCAAGAATAAAGTAGAGAGCTGTTACATGCCATTTGCCTCTGGGTAGGTATCGAAAGGACAACATGACAGCCTTTTGTCAAGTGCTTTAAATTCATGTTTTCAAGTTGGTAAGAAACCAGGCAAAGCTCAAACTGCAGGAAAGGGATAGGGTGTGAAGAGTGGATTGGATGGGCCTGTGGGAGAGAAGGGAAGTGTGGACACAGAGGCTTGGTGGTGTACATACCCTGCCTGTGAGCCAGGTGTGGTACAATCTGCATTTGGAGGCTAGACAGGAAGCTGGTGAATTTGATCCTAGCCAGGGCTACAGCCAGAGACCTGCAGGAAGGGAGGGATAAAAAGCCAGTGGGGAATAAGCCAGTGCAGCAAGATTAGAGAGTGCTCTGCTCACCTGCCTGCTGCTGTGTAGGTTTCCTGTAGCTTGTGGACACTTGTTCATGGTCAGCTTCCAATGTGCTGAACATCAGGCCAAGCTGAGGAAATGGTAGGACAGGCAAGGATGGGCCTCCCTGGAGCTGCATGGACTAAACGCTTGCTGTTTGCTTGTTTTCTAGCATCTCTTACTGCCCTTGGCACAGGAAGGCAGAGTACAGAAAGCAAAATTCACCAGTTATTCCTTGCCAGAATAATTGGTAGAGCAAAAGACAAGCTACAGAGCTGATGACTGGGCTTTGTGGTGCACAACCCAGTTTAGGAAGAGCCTGGGTGGGAGGTGTGGGGAGCCTCAGCATGCCTCTGCCCTCAGAGAATCTGCACCTGTCCCAGCTGTTGAGTTCCACTATCAAATGCAAACAGCAACTATTTTGGGAACACTTAAGCCATCAGAAAAGTGAATGGCTCCATAGTGGCTCGCCCGGATGCACTGCTGAAAGCATGTGGCCTGGTTGGTCACAGAACACTTCTTTGGGGCTTTCTTGTCCCTCTTCCTGCCCAAATTGAGACAGGCATAGATGGATGACCTCTACTGACCCTCCCACCTTCCATAAGTAGCTCCCAGACCTCCTAGAAACCCAAAAGCCATCTATCAGCAGTATAAATAGAACCACACAGGCCTGGCAGGTGGTGGCTCCAAGGTGGATGGGATGCCACCTGGCAGCAGGCATCATTCTCTAAATATAAAGATGAGTCTGCCCTGGAGAAGCGGCTCCCAGGCCCTAGTGCAAGGTCTTGGTGCTCCTTAGAGAAGACGCCCACCACTACTCTCTGCCTTAGCCTCCTCCAGGCTCCCACAGTCTCAGTTGTCACCCTTCTCTCAGATCCAGGCGGGGGGGAGGGGAGACACTAATTGTCACCAAGGAGATTTGGGGGCATTTTTGCAGTCCACCCAATCGGGCAAGGGGTTCAGTTCTAGAGTTAGGAATCCCCACACTGTCCCCTCACTTCTCTCTGCACTGCACTGCAGAAGACAGGACAGCTCTAATGCCTTGGCCTCACATGCCTTGTGAGGGAAGGGAAACAGTCCCCATGCGGCCTCCTGTCACCCCCACCTCCTTCCAGTTGTCTGCCCTGTGACAGCTGCATGCCCTCCTCTGACAGCCTTTGGGTAGGGGAACCGTGGGGGAGGGACGGATGTGGGTCCACTCTCTGGATTGGGGAGTTTGAGGTGAGGGGAAAATGCATTTCACAGTGTGGGGTTTTTTTTTTTCTTTCCCTACCTGGAGTCTCTGACCCCTCCCAGCCCACCCGCCCCCAGGGCTGATTGTCAGGTTTGGTCTGAATAAAGAACCCCAAAATGGGGTGCAGTGTGGTAGGTCATGAGTGGGGTGCTAAGCACCCCATATGCCTAGGATGGGCAGGGCTGGGGAGACCTTTCAAACAGGTGCAGCTTGGGCAGTGCAGACCAGTCATCTGCAAACAATGACCTTTGCCCCAGCCCCTCCCCTCAGGCAAGCATTGGAGCCAATCAGAGGAGTAGATAGCTGGGGAGACTCCATATACGGCCGGGTCCAGTCCAAGCTACCTGGGCCAGGGCCAGTCTTCTCCTTGTTTGGTCAGTGCAGGGGACCCAGGCAGGGGCCCAGGCTGAGAACCAGCTGAAGGAGGGGACTCTAGTGCCTGACACCCAAATATGGCTTGGGAAGGGCAGCGACATTCCTGCGGGGTGGTGTGGAGAGAGATCCCGCGGGCTATATAAAACCTGAGCAAAGGGACAGGCGGTCACACAGCGGATAGCACCAGTGAAGCCTTGCTTCCCTCCTTTGACACCCAGGACCTCAGCCAGAGAACAACAGGTAGGGTAGAAGTGGGGAGGGCGACCTGGAGGGCATAGCTGGGCATGCTCTTTAGCCTCAGGGCCAGTGTCCTGCGCAGCATCACACTTCTGCCCCAGAGTTTGACACTTTAAAGAGAAAACTTAGCTCTGGAAATTTCTGCAAACTCATTCCAGCTCATTTGGGCTGCTCACCTGGTGTTTAGGATGTGCCTAGGGGACTGACATCTTTCTCCCTCTTCCCTCCTCCCTCCCTTCTGTTTCTCCTCACTTCCTCATTGGCGATCAAATCTAGGGTCAACATTCAGACCTGCTAGGCTACCACAGCCACACCCCAGCCCCTGGTTGGTTGAGATCTCTCTTCCTCCCTCCCTTTCTCCCTAGCTGGGGACCAAACTCAGCCCCTTGTAATGCTAGCAGGGGCTGGCTTTCCCTTGAAGCCACACCCCACCCTGGGAGACTGATTTGAAGATGTGCTTGGAGAAATTTAGTCTTACTTTAGCTTCACAGCTCCCTCCCAGCCGAGGCTTTTGCCTCCCTCTTCTCTAGGATAGGGAACAGGTGCAAGCACCCCTTGTGAGTTTGGAATGCTTGGGTGTCCAAAGAAGCACCACTCTCGTGGCAGATGTGCAGCAGTCTTCAATGCCTCCTTCAGAGATGAGATCAGGAGGTAGAGAGCATAGCACTATTGCCCAGCTGTTGAGTGAGTGGTCTATAGTGAAGGCAGATGGTCTAGGGTCCTTGGATGATGTCCCCTGGGTACCCAGCTGGAAAACTTAATGTGGTCTCCAGACCCTGTATTTCCCTGATGGAAAGCACAGCGTTGAGTTGGGAGCGGGTCCTTTGACCCCATGCAAGAGGCTGAAGGAAGGGGCTCCCTGAAGCTCCAAAGGGCAGGAGGGTTGGGTTGGCACCTCAGCTCAGCTCCCCTACTACTGCTCAACACCACTCTGGCCTTGTCTTTGCAGGAACCAGACACCATGTGCGACGAAGATGAGACCACCGCCCTCGTGTGCGATAATGGCTCTGGTCTGGTGAAAGCCGGCTTTGCCGGGGATGACGCCCCCAGGGCTGTGTTCCCATCCATCGTGGGCCGCCCCCGCCACCAGGTCGGGCTGCTGGGCTGGAGAGGAGCTGGTAGGTCCGCTAAGCACAGCTGCTGTCTCCCAGCTGTTGTAACAAGTGCCTGATGTCTCCACCTGCAGGGCGTCATGGTGGGTATGGGTCAGAAAGACTCCTACGTGGGCGACGAGGCCCAGAGCAAGCGAGGTATCCTGACCCTGAAGTACCCCATTGAGCACGGCATCATCACCAACTGGGACGACATGGAGAAGATCTGGCACCACACCTTCTACAACGAGCTGCGGGTGGCCCCCGAGGAGCACCCGACCCTGCTCACTGAGGCCCCTCTGAACCCCAAGGCTAACCGCGAGAAGATGACCCAGATCATGTTTGAAACCTTCAACGTGCCCGCCATGTATGTGGCCATCCAGGCGGTGCTGTCCCTGTACGCCTCCGGCCGTACCACGGGTGAGTGCACCACGCACCCTAGGCCTAGGCATACCGGCTCTGCGCCCCTATACCGCTCGCTCTCCAATCCCCGCACCCGTTAGGTTCCCCGCTGGGCCTTGTCCTTGCCCCGAGTCTCCAGTCCGTGAGCATCTCCAGTCCAGCAGCAGGCACTCCCTGCTGGGCCCCGCGGCTCACGCACTGCCCCTCCCTGGTACAGGTATCGTCCTGGATTCCGGCGACGGTGTCACCCACAACGTGCCCATCTATGAGGGCTATGCCCTGCCGCATGCCATCATGCGTCTGGACCTGGCCGGCCGTGACCTCACTGACTACCTGATGAAGATCCTCACTGAGCGTGGCTACTCCTTCGTGACCACAGGTGCGCGCTCCCGACGCCCCGGGAGGGAGGACCAGCAGGAGGGCAAGTGCGCGTCCCCGTCCTCCCCTGAGGCCTCCCCTGTGCTTCTGCCCCTACAGCTGAGCGTGAGATCGTGCGTGACATCAAGGAGAAGCTGTGCTATGTTGCCCTGGACTTCGAGAACGAGATGGCCACTGCTGCTTCCTCCTCCTCCCTGGAGAAGAGCTACGAGCTGCCTGATGGGCAGGTCATCACCATCGGCAACGAGCGCTTCCGCTGCCCAGAGACACTCTTCCAGCCCTCCTTCATCGGTGAGCCGCCCGCCCACGGGCTCCGGGTTGTCCCATCGTGCCCCTGCTAGTGCCCCCACCTTTTCATCTTCCCCCGCCATACTCCAGGGTCTCTGGCCCCCGTCTCACCTGTGCCGGAGTCCTATGGCTCTGCGGTTGCTCACACACTGCCTCTCCCTCGACCCCTAGGCATGGAGTCCGCAGGGATCCACGAGACCACTTACAACAGCATCATGAAGTGCGACATCGACATCAGGAAGGACCTGTACGCTAACAACGTCATGTCAGGGGGCACCACCATGTACCCTGGTATCGCTGACCGCATGCAGAAGGAGATCACCGCTCTGGCCCCCAGCACCATGAAGATCAAGGTGGGCTGCGCGTTTGGGGCTGGCGGGGATGCCGGGGGCACCGGGGACGCCGGGGACGCCGGGGACGCGGACACCTGACACTCTGTCTTGCAGATCATCGCCCCTCCAGAGCGCAAGTACTCAGTGTGGATCGGCGGCTCCATCCTGGCCTCGCTGTCCACCTTCCAGCAGATGTGGATCACTAAGCAGGAGTACGACGAGGCTGGCCCCTCCATTGTGCACCGCAAATGCTTCTAGGCGCACCCACGTGCACGTGCGCTCTCTCTCCTCAGGACGAAGTCGTGCTGTGGTTGTGGGGTGGCCACGTCCTCCGCGACGGCTCCATCGCTGCCACCACAGCCCGCACCTCTTTTTAACGTGTACATACGTTGACTCGTTTTACCTCATTTTGTTATTTTTAAAACAAAGCCCTGTGGAAGGAAGTGGAAAACTTGAAGCATTAAAGCCAGCCATTGTGTTTTGCTGCAGTGAAGTGTTTGTTGTCTTTATTTACTGGGGGTTGGGGAGGACGGAAGGAAGGACCCATCCGGACACTTTTCATAGATCTCCAATTGAGTGCGCAATTTAGAAGACAAAAGTTGAGGAAGCTGTCTTTCCACCCCCACCCCACGGTTTACGTTCTGGATTATATCCAGTTCCCAACTGGAGGCCCTTGTGTGGCGAGGCCTCTCCCTCCCCCTGCACAGAGAGCAGTAAGCTACTGTCACCCCCCAAGTTGAGATCCTGGCGCTGACCGTGGTGCTGCCCGGAGCATCTCTCAGCATTTCCACAGCTCACAAAGGCTGGGAGTGGAATCTTCGTCTAACTAAAGACTTGTATTTTGTATAGGAATTAGTCAGTTTTAGCAGTCACCTTCTCTTCCAAACCTGGAAACACCTGGCTTCCTGCGGGCCAAGTGCTGGTGGAGCAGAGAAGTGTCTTTCTTGTAGGGCTGGGGAAGGACCATCAGGGTGGGATGACAAAGAAGGACCTGGAGTCTCCAGAGAGGAGGCCACTGAAGTTGGCTAGCAAAATGTCCAGGGTGGGCATCCTGGGTGCATGTAAGCAAGGGAATGGGGAAACCACACCCTCGTTTAGCCAACCAGTGCCTTGAACATGCTAAACCAACATTCTACCACAGAGCTACACCCCAACCCCCACCAAATGTTTTGAAAGCACAAACCATGATAGTTTGAATTTCTAAAGAAGAGAACAATACTTGTTTTTATTATTTATTTCTTTATTTATTTATTTGTTATTTTTATTTAGTTTTGAGATAGGATCTCAATATGCAGTGGAGGCTGGTCTTGAACTCTCAGTGATCTTCCTGCCTCTTGAGTGCTGGGTTACACTGTTGATATTCCTAGTTGATACTGACAGGAACAGTGGTCCCAAATAAAACATATGCCAACTCAAGGAAGGAGATAAACTCAGAAGCACATATATAGGTGGAATTGCCACGGTTATCTGCCATGAAGCTGTGTGCTTATTATGCCCTTTCTTTCCTGTTGACAAGCTTTAGAAATCTCTGAGGATCCCCAGGGCAGTGACCAGAATCCACCATTTAATAAAGCTTCAGAATTTAATACTACAAGCATAAAACATGGAGATTACTGGAAACTACCTGTATTTTGCCTTACCCAGTGTGAATGGAAGTTTTTACTCAGAGGAGCTCAACTTTTACTGAGAATACAAAACAAACAGCGATGTCTTATCTGCTGACACAGAATGATGCCTTTAACTCTGGACAAATCCACAGCCTGGAATAATTCACACAGTCACTAGCTTGGAAAAGCATCATCTTCTCTTAGTTAGCTAACCATCATCTTGAACATTTTTGAGCCAGGTCTCTAAGTCTCTTCATTGAAACATAAGTGTGGCAGGCTGTCAATAGGGTAAGGGCCATTTTTCCTGCTATCATCATCAGTAAGTCACTAGATACTTTGAGGCTGACAGAAGTTTGAACACATTGTGGAACTGTTTCCTTGAGCATCAATCACTATCAAAAATCCACTCTTCTATTGAAAGAATAAAGGCAAAAACTATGAATTATATAATTTCACTGGGGATGTGCTAAGGCTGAAATTATCTTTTCTTTCTGATAGTTCTCTGAAAAGAAGCAAGTACCATGCATTTTGTTAGCGTTCTGCCTCTTTTGTGTGTGCTCTGACAGAAAGTTACTGATAACCTGTAACTTGTTCTAAATAAGGCCAGGACATACGTGGATATTTGTGAAAGGTAGAGTGAGAACCAACAATTCCTACCAGTTATTTGGTCCTACTGGAATAAGATTTTCTGTTGAAAAGCTCCTCAGTGGGCTGGAGAGATGGTTCAGTGGTTAAGGGCACTTGCTGCTTTTGCGAAGGACCCACATTTGGTTTTCCAGCAACCACATGGTAGCTCACAATCACTTATAATTCCAGTTCCAGGGGATCAAACACTCTTCTGGCCTCCATGGGCACCAGGCATAAACATTATGCTCACACATGCAGGAACTCACACTAACACATAAAATAAACAAATCTTTAAAAGAAAAGAACCTGGGGGCTGGAGAGATGGCTCAGTGGTTAAGAGCACTGGCTGCTCTTGCAGAGGACCCGGGTTCGATTCCCAGCACCCACATGGCAGCCACGAACCATCCTTAACTCCACTTCCAGGGGAATCCAGAGCCCTCTTCTGACCTCTGCGGCACTGCACAACATGGGTGCACTCGCATACATGCAGGAATACACTCACACACATAAAATAAAAATAATAAATAAAATATATTTTTTAAGAAAAGATCCTTAGGGAATCATTACACATGTCTCTTCCTCAGTATTGTTAGGGAATGGAATAAAGACAAACACACACACACACACACACACACACACACACACACAGCTGGATGTGGCTGCATGTGCTAGAAAGGTAAAAGCAGGATCAGTTCAAAGTCATTCAGGCTGTGTAGTTTGAGGTTGGCCTGGTCTACATGAGACCCTGCCTCAAACAAAACAAAACAAAACAAAACAAAACAAATATGTCACCTCCCACACACATACACTTAAAAAAAAACTGAACAGCCAGGCATGATGGCGCACGCCTTTAGTCCCAGCACTCGGGAGGCAGAAGTAGGTGAATCTCTGTGAGTTCGAGGCCAGCCTGGTCTCCATAGCGAATCCAGGCCAGCTAGGACTACAGGGAGACCCTGTCTCAAAAAGCCAAAAAAAAAGAACAGTTAGCTGCCAGCTGTATGTATCAGTGTGCAGTAGTCAGCTACTCGGTCATCCTCCCTGGGGCTCTAACTTAACAGAAGGAAGAAATAGCACCATTGTTAAGGTTACTAAGAACCATATGCCCAGGGTTTGTAGACACGACTGAAGACCTGAGGACCAACTAAAAAGTGTGCTTTTAGATTCTAGAAAACAGAAATAGAAAGCAGATTCACTGCTTTAGATTCTAGAAAACAAAACAATAATGAAACAGCAACAATAACAAAAAAAACCCACAAATAACAACAACCCCCCCCACAACTGTTACCCTTAAAAAAGCACTTTGTCCCTACTTCTCTGCAATGCCCTCCTTTGCTGCTTCAGAAGCAGGAACTCCTCAACTTTCACTTGGAGCCTGAGTATTATAGACAGGATTTGTAAAAAAAAATCACCAACACCACTTTATGAAAAGTAGCAAGGTAAATTTTAATTTTCGACCGGCCGGGCTGTCTATCTCAGGAGTAGAAGCAGCCCTGATGATTGTCAGGTCAGAGTTTTCATAGGATTACAGAATTATTATTAAAACAGGACACTTGTGAACCAATCAGGTTTGTACAACATAGCAGAATTTTGACTCTATTAATCAACAACCAATCATTATACAGACAAGTGATACAGCCATATAACTTGGCAATCAACTTTGTGACCTTAAAACTAGCCAACTGTTTTAGCCATAATAAGTACAATAAGACAGTCAAGGTAAATGACTTCTAGGTGGTCATACAATAACAGGAGAACACGGGTGGTCTTATGCCCTGTGTCAAGATGACCCAAGATAGCAAGCGGATTACAGAAGCGAAAACAAGCTGGTTAGTCAGATGTATAATGTCTGGAATTAACACATTCCATGGTTCATGGCTAGGGCAATTTTCCAAGGCCCAAGGTTGCCCCCCTTTTCCTTTTGGTGTGGAGCAAAGTTGCTGCTAAAATGGCTCTGAACAAAACGGAGTAACTTAGGGAAGTTTGCTGGGCCAGTTCACTGAAGCTTTTTTGTTGTGTGGTTTGTTTGTTGTTGTGGGTTTTGTTTGTTTGTTTTCTTTTCAAACAGGCTCTTTTTAAGCCAAGAATTGAAGGCGACTGTGCTGGATAGCCTTAGTGTCAACTTGGCATACCTGGGTTGAGGGAGCCTCAGTTGGAGAATTGCCTCCATTGGACTGGCCTATGGCCATGTCTATGGGGCATCTTGATTGTTGAGTGATGTGGGAGAGGCCCAGCCCACTGTGGGTGGTGCCACCCTGGGCAAGTGGGCCTATGTTGCATAAGAAAGCAAGCTGAGTAGGGGCCACAGGAGCAAGCCAGTAAGCAGTGATCCTCCATGGCCTGTGCTCCAGCTCAGGCCTCCAGGTTCTTGCCCTGGGCTCCTTGATGAACTGTGACCTGGGAGATGTAAGACAAATAAATGCTTTCCTCCCCTAGTTGGTATTGGTCAGAGTGTTTTATCACAGCAGTGGAGAAACAAACTAGGACAGTGACCTTGAACTTCTAATCCTCCTACCTCTACCTCTGGATTATAGGGGTATGCTACCATGCCTGGTTTGAGATGGAATAGTGTATGTTAGGCAAGCACTCTCCCAGCTGAGCCCCAGCCTCAGTCCTGCTGCTGGCTTTTAAATTGTCTTCTTCCTGGGTTAAATGCGTACAGAGTCTGGCAAGTCCTCAGATAGATAGGTACCAGCTAGGAGGCTGAGGGGCCTGAAGCCCCTGCAGCTTAAAGTTAATGCAGCATATGTCCAGGGACCAGCAAAACAATGAAAAAAAAAATAGAACAAAATTAAGGGCAAAAGAGACAAAGGAATTAGGTCAAAATATTAAATCACCCTGAAGCTTCTAGGGGCAGGGTGAAGGGTATTTTTTTTCCTACATTTTTTTCATACTCCTATGTTTTTTCCAACTTGCTTTCTTTAAAAAAAAATATTTCATTTATTATTTTCTATTTTATGTGTATGAAGGTATTTCCTGCATGTATGTAAGGGCATCTGTGTCATGCACTGCCCGCAGAGGTCAGAAGACAGCGTCCAGATGGTTGCATGTGGTGCTGGGAATTGAACCTGGGTCCTCTGCAAGAGCAGTCAGTGCTCTTAATCACTGAGCCATCTTTCAAGCCCCCAAACTTACTTTTTCAACAAATATGTCATTTTAATATTAAAGTGAAAATTAAAAACAGATAAATAAAATCTTCCACTAGCTCAGCTGCATGGGTCCTAGTTTAGCTGGCCAGGAAGGTTTGGGCACTAGAG